GAAATATTGTTGTACTCCAGCGTGAGCCTCATGAACGTTGCATTAACAACTAGAATTCCTCAGTAATGCTAGCATGGCAAGCTAACATGGACATTCAGTTTGTGCTAAACGCATATGCCTGTATAATGTATGTAGCCTCATATATCATGAAAACTGAGATGGGAGAACTATTAAAACACAGTGAAATTAAAGATTTTAGTGTGAAGGGAGGTTCGTCTCCTGCGCAACTGTCTTTCGCCGTCTTCCTCCTTACGCCATTCGGCAGACATGAGCCAGCCATACTGTCAATCTCGCTTACACGCGCTCGTGGCCTGCTGAGGCCCGCCTCCCTCCTTCCCGTACACGCGCTCGCTAAGGCCCGCTGACCCACCCCCTTCCCGAGCTAGTGATTGGTGTCGGCCGGCTGCGCGCGAGCAGCCCCTCCGCTAGGTCGCCTCTGCGTGCGTTGTGTGCACGTATGCGTCGTACACTACATGGGTGTGGCAGATGGAATCCCGGACAAACGGGGGATTCCAGCGCCGGCGGGCGGGACGTACTAACAACGTCATCGGCATACCGCAGCCAGTGTAGCTACGTAGTTGCTGACACTTGCCATAATTACACTCGCTACACCAGTGATTATGATCTTCAGCATTCGTGATTATAAAACTACTGATCGTTAGAGTGTTTTCTCGTAACTGGAAAGCATAGGCAATGGCTACTCGCTCTCTTCCAGAGAAGTATGTATGCATTGATGTCGAATGCGTTGCGACTGGTCGCCGCCATGACGCCCATTCGGTTGCCCTGGTGGCAATTGTCGATCAAGACGAACGAGTCTTATTGAAAAAGAAAGTCAAACCAAGAGAAAAGGTAATGAGCTACCTGACACCATTAACGGGCCTTCGTGAAGGAGACCTGGATGATGGAGAACCGCTAGAGAGTGTACTGGCGGAAGTGAAACGTATTCTGAGTCCCGAAATTGTTCTGGTTGGACAGGGCATCAAAAATGATGTGCAATGGCTGAAGTTGCGCGAGGGTGAACACTTTTCGCGCACAGTCGAGCTCGGAGAGCTTTTCAAGGCCTACAACCATCGCTTTTCACGCTACTACTACTTTTCCCTGAGTCACGAAGCCAATACTCTTCTACACCAAGGTAACACTTTTGATTGTTTCTACTTCAGCCTTGGACTACGTATGTTTGTCTATGCAGGTTTCATTTCTGATGAGCACAATCCGGTCACAGACGCAAAAGCTAGCGTTCAACTGTTTAAAAAGTTTTACGCCGACAGTGGACGGCTGGAGGAAGCTAAGAAGAAACTGCTACGAAATCGTCCTCCTCGATCGTGGAAAAAGAAGAATAACTTCCTCTGGGAAGGAGTTTGCTTGGCGGCCTACTTTCCAGAAAAGTGCTTCTGTGGTGCTCCTACAAAAAAAGACTGAAACGACACACCGTAAAAACAGAAAAGTATAGAGCTATAGTATCTAGCTATGGTAGCTTAGCTAGCTATTTGTTTTAGTGCTAGGTAAATAGCTAAAGAAGAGTAGCTATTTGTGCAGTTCGCTCGTGGCGACGCCTCAACGCGCAATAAGCGACGTCAAGCAGAAGGTAGAGGCAGCAGTGGATCCCGCGATCGCCCTCGCACGCCGCGCAACATCGGGCAACGCCCACTTGCGCATCCGCGCTGCGACTTGGGAATACACCATTCACTCCTCAAGCTTACCCAGGCCACAATAATTTTACTTTTGAAGTTAGTATGACACGCCCTGTATCTACGTATAATGTTTAGTGGAACCTCTGAACAAGGGACACTATGCAATGGGGCCAATGATTTTGTCACTCAAGATGTTGTGACTATCTCGGAGGTCACTAAAGTGTATTACCATGTGTAAACAACGAGGTGAAGTAGAAAGGCAAAGGCAAAGCAAACAAGTCAACTACAACCAGGACAACTCTCAAAAAAGTGCTGCCCCAAACCTCAAACCACTGTGCTATGGTATAGGTATTCTCACTCAGTAAGGGCACGTTCGTTTGTATAGAGAGGCCTATAATATTCCTTGTGCTGTTTCAGGCACTATAGAGACTCTATAATTGCTGGATAGGCAAAGCAATGTAACGGTGGCTGTAGAAGAGTCATCATTGGGGGAATGATGGTGAGCACCACAAATGGAGAGCTTGCTGACTACTAGAACAATAGAAGTGTGGCATTTAATGTAATCTAAGAGCAGTACACTACAAACAGAGAGCTACTACAGTAAAAGAGGAAAATGTGCCACTATGGCACGTACACTTCCCTATGAGGCACGCGCGCGGAAGAAATAGTCAGGTGACGTTAGCATGAACGGCCCACCTATGCAACTATAATTATATAGCCAATCAGAATGGCGTGATGCGCGGTTACGTCATAGTAATAGTTGTTTTGTGAGCACCGCAAAATACGGCAAAAGCTTGAAAGTATGGGGCGCCATCCGTTCCAAAAGTCCCAGTGTTAGGTTTTATGCATATAGACGTGTCACTTTCTATATAGACTGGTCTAAAAACATATGGACTGGTTTATATATATACAGCACGTCCGATATATATATCAGCACGTGTATATGCAAATTTATCCGCTTATTTACTTATAATCTTCTTTCACCTGCGACAGACATCGTGTTACGCGCGCGCTTTCTGGTACGCGCATGCGCAGTAAATTATACGCAAACGCGACAGAATATACTCTTATCGACAAGTTGGGACCTTAGGAACAGATGGCGCCATCAGAAACAAGAGAAAGATTCGGATATATTTCACTTGATTACTACCTGCCAAAGCGCTAACAAATCTTCCTCGCGTTTTTTTCGCAGCACATAATTTCGAGGCTGGTGCAACGCCCCATGTCCGGAGTTACCCCCATTTACCTTACTGAAATTACACAAACTCCAGTCCCACGCATACTACCTGTTGCCTGGCAAACAGAAGTATCAGCTAGCATCCTCTGCCTTGTATGTCACATAATGAAGTGAGAGTATACTGTGCCATAGCATAGGGAAGATAATATAGTCAGGTGGCGTTAGTATCAACGACGCGTATATACCCTTGGAATGTGGTGGTTTTACATGATTTCCACGTGATTAGTGGTTGGGGTCCGGGGAACGCTGTGAGCTCGGTTACACTACTAACCCTGGTCTTTCACGATGGCTCACACCAGTGAAGTCGACAAGGACCTCTTTCATATGGGGTGCCATCCGTTCCAAAAGTACATTTCATTTACCTTATATACTTTTGTCATGACGTACCAACAGCTTCTCTGTCACTTAGCATCCCACGGACCCCATACAACACTAGCAATGACAACAGGGACTATAGCTTTATGTGACTCCTACTCAAGTTGCTGTGAAAGCCTGAAAGGACTACTACGATGCAGGAATGTTTGAGTGTTGGTCTTCATGCCAAATTAGGTGAATATCAATTATCTAGGCAGGTGCAAGGGAAATAGCGAGGTGACTACGTGACCCCTGCTAATGATACTGTTACACGTCATGTGACTGCAAATGCTTCTTTCATTGAGAAGTCTGCAAACATTATCCTAGGTATATACCCTGTCACTTTAGCCTTGGGACCCTTAGAGTAGAATATAACAACAGATCACTGAGGAGTGACAACTTAGATGGCAACAGACCATGCATATCGCCGAACCTATTTGCAAGACTTCTTCACGGCAATAACTATCAACCATGCTAAACATAATGGCCACGGTCACCTCGTAGTTTCAAAGTGTTAAGCCGTGGGATGGTTACCTGTTCGTGACGTTTGTTTAAGGTTAGCTCTATCTCAGCGTTCCACAGTCTTATTCTCAGATTGCGTCTGGGGAACAGGTTGGTCAAAGAGGGCATGATGAGTTACCGTGTCTGGGAGGTGAGACAGACATGCACCATATTGTTGTGTAACACTACAAAAACGTTTAAGTTTTATGGCATTTTCTGTTCAGTTTATGTTATTTTCTGACTCAGTGTATGTCAGTACAAGTGCACAAAAATACGTGATGTACAGAAAATCCCAGAATACTTGTGCTGTGTTTGTGGGTTTTCTGTACATCACTTATTTTTGTGCACTTGTACCGACATACACTGAGTCAGAAAATGCCATAAACTGAGCAAAAAATGCCATAAAACTTAAACGTTTATGTAGTGTAATATAGGTGCCGCGTAATATAGGTCCCGTCCGTTGTTCTTCTGGGTGCATGGCCGATGACAACCCTAATAATTATAATGACTGACTGTCAGTTAACACTTTACCAACCACCGACACATAGCTAAATGTGTCCAGAGCCTTGATAGAATTTATATGGGGTTATAATACTAGGCGCTAATGCTTTATACATCAATTTCTGCCATGGCGTCCAAAGGGTTAAGATATAGGGATGGTATCATGTAGCTTTGTGTGACTTAGCTGTGTAATACTATATTTGTTTCTTCCTTTTTGGTGCTTTGAGCCACCCCAATATCCCCCATCATTTTGAAGTTCCACATGTCTTCACTTATTTATTATCGAACTATATAGTTGATACGGTCACTTCTGTCATGTGCACTGTGCGCACACTCACTAACATAAAGTGTTGGCTCCATGACTGAGTAACGGTCAACATCTCTACAAAGCTGCCTGGGCTCACTCTTGACAAAACCTCGCACAAGACTGCAGGAAACCTATAGTTGTTATGTAAACGTAACACATACCACCCTCGGGCATTACATCACAACTTTCTCGAGTATGTCAAGGATGACAGGGCAGCACAAACAGGAATCGTTAGCTTTCACTTCAAAACTTGTCAGCTACAATGTGTACGTTCACACGACACTTAATTCCCATTGCTAGCTGCATGGTTGCTACGAAGTTGGATTTGCTGTTTGCCTAACAATGAAAGTGTGTAGTTGTCCCAGACACATGTTGCATTCACCTACACCTTAATTCCAGTATTGGACACAGCGTGTAGTTGGATGCACCTTTTCCCTCACAATGATGTGTAGTTGTCCTAGTACAATGACACGTGAGAATCGTACAAACAAGCTGTTTTTCCTCACAATGAAAGTGTGCAGTATTATGATGACGCATGTCATGACAGAAAGAGAAATTTATGCCTCATTATACAGCACAGGTTGTATATACATATGATGAACACTTGCTATATACCACTTGTGACATGTGCATTACTCTGTCTTACCGGACATTTTAGTTCTACCCTACATAGTTGACTTATCTGTTGCAGTGGGCTTGAGCCGAAATCTTGGTGATATAAAACACTTGAACGACTTCAATTTAATGAAAGCACACTCTATAAGCCTCAAGCTATCAACCAATAGAGGAGATAGTCATGACTGACAAAACCAGTGCAGTCTCATAACAGTTGTGTTAGCTGGCATCCAGCAGAATGAGGATGTATAATATTCCAAAATGAGAAGAGATTAAGAATCATCTGAACAGCAATAACTTTGGTACATGTATAAGGGAGTCAATGTAGTTTTAGTGGGTGACCATCATTGTCTGTCGGGCCTGGTGCTCCATGTCTGCAGGAGCTAACACTGGTAGCTGTCCTAAAATAGGCTTCCAGTTTAGCTGTTAGCTGGGACGAGAGCTGCAGTGGAAAGAAAAACAGTGCTTGCCAAAATATTCATTTAGTACAAAATGTAGTATTTCTTGTAGACCTAGATAGATCTTGATAATGTTTGAGCAAAATACGTGGCTTGACGGCATTGGGCATTTGTCGAGAAAAAGTTAGGAGAGGATCTGTCATAATAATATTATGGGTATGAGTGACACATGGACAAAAGGAAACATAGCAGAGGCTAAGAAGGAAGACTGGCGTACTATACAAGAAGCCACTAAAAGCGGTGTGTCAGGTGGGAAGCGTAGAGTAAGCATGGACTCTGATGTGGCTTTATAAGTAGATATTACTATCATACGTAGGATTACCAACTGTGATGTAATCATCTCTGGCCACGTGTACGGTTTCGGTTGAGTTTGTTACATGGCGCTGCGAGCTAAAACGGACTGAAGAGCGCATCCCATCGCCTGAAACCGACCATGTCCTACGTGTTTCAACCCGGAGACCTGCCTAAACTCGACAGGCACCTACGATGGCGTGTCCCAATAGCGTCACCACCAGACGCAGTCAATCCCGGCCCTAGACCCATCCACCAAGACGCACACACACAAGACCAAATCACCTCATGGAAGAAGTCGCCTTCACCTACGGTTGAATGTGAAGGCGCAGAGGGGGAGATGTAGAGTAAGCATGGACTCTGATGTGACTATATAACTAGATATTACTATCACACGTAAGATTACCAATTGTGATGTAATCATCTCTGGCTATGTGTACTGTTTTGGATGAGTTGGTTACAGGGCACGGGTGTTTCATTTACGGATTATGCGTAGCAGACACTGACGTCATGAATGCTGCGCATTTTTCTTAGCAACGTCCCATGACAACGTAAGGGGTGCGATCTTTGTACTGTGCTGTCGCGTCGTAAAGCGCTTTAGAGCGTGAGGGAAAGCGTAAGCGGAACGGTGAGGCTCTGCTCTACGCAACGGTACAACACTTGGCCGGCTTCGGTTCACGTATCGGCGCTCTGCGGTGGATCTACATCCGCTTGCGGGCTTCGTGTTTGTCCCGCGTGGAGGACGTTTAGCTGAATTTATATCCACATGAAACCTTAAGGAACGGACAAAGACATCTATGGAGGACAGGATAGTCGAGGTGAGATGCCTAGAACTATTTTTTGCGTGACGTACTCGACCGTTGTTTAACCGCACTATTGTACACACTGGTGGTGGCTGTTTGCCCACACTTCACGAAAGATGGGGTCAGTCGAGGGATGCGGTGGCTCATAGTCCAACGACTGACATTCCTGCTACTCACCCTGGGAGTCGACACTCTGACCAGACTTAGAGGCTTGTGAAATGAGAACTTGGTATGCATTTTGCTACATAATATAAGTTTGTGTGCTTACTGTGCCATCTGTTGTCAGCTTTACAACCGGTGCTGGTGTTGAGGACCCAGAAGAACTACTAGTCACGGGAGGAGAGTGTGCAGCAGCCTTTTTACGATGCTGGAAGCTGCCTTTTGCTCAACTACAGTTGGAGGTGACTGGAGCGGACGGGAGATGATCTGCTTCATCGTGAGCTTGGATGGTGAAAAGGACGCAGTGTGTGCTTCGCAGCCAGACTTCACATGCTCTGCTAAGTGCTTGAGATTCATGACCGCTGTACAAGAGGATTTGTCGCAACGTATCAAGAGGGCTCCTATAACTTTCAGAACAACATCTGAAGCAGGGACAAACAGTGTCGGGGAGAGTTCATGATGTTCCTCGCAGCATGGGCACTGAAGACTTGACTCGGCATTGAGGACTAGGCTACTAATGCACTCGGCGCATACAAGATCGCTGCACAGTGTCTTGACAGGCCGATCTACAATGCATTCGCACTGAAGGTCGTGCAAGGAGAGAGAAGAAGCCGGTGGGAGAAATCGAGACTAGAGAGAGGCTGCATTGCTCGCCAACTTGTGGGGGCAGTTTTTAGAACAGTGTTGCCAATTCCCTTGCCGCTGTCGACCTTTGGTCTCCCTCGCTTCTTTGTAGCCTTTTTCGGTCTCCCCGCTTTCCCCTTGCATACCCAACAGTCAGTCCCATGACTCTCCCAGTCTACTGGCACCACTGCTGTCTCAACCACAGCCCCACTTGAGATCTTCTTCGCGATTGTGTGGCATTTGTGGCAATACGCCTTTGGATGTACATGTTTTTGGTCTGTCCTAGTGTCAATGTTGAATGTTTCAGTAGTTCCGTATTTTCATGACACAAATGTGCTGTTTCCAAAACCTTTGCACACACTCTGCAATACTTCTCCAATGGGGTTTCAGCCCACTAGTGTCATTGACACTTGCCATTAATGCGACTTATGCACTTGGCACTTGGGAATGGCTGTAATCCACAGGAATAAATAGTTCTAGTAACTAAATACTGTTCATTTTGTAGATCAATTGTACCACTGTAGAACTAACCTTTTACTTGCCTCGAAAAAATTGTGTGCTGGCCTTGACAGGTGCGAGGAGAATGGCATGCATAAACCGCACAGCCGTTTTGGGCGTTGCTAAGGAAATGATATCCAGGCGCAGTAGAGTTACGCGGTTACTACGCTATGCGCGTTATCGGAAATATTATGATCCTGTGCCTTTTGTGCTGCTTCTCTACACGTTCCATAACTGAATTCCAAAGTATTATGCAAACAAACTCTATGGAAACTGAGGCGGTGGCATTGCTAACGTGGCGCACGCGCGGTTTGATTGAATTTAGGTAACCGCGCGATTTAAGCGCAACCACCATTTGCACGCGTAAAACACCCGCGAGGCAGGCCTTATGCTGCTGGTGACCCCAGTGTGGACATTGCAAGTGATTCTTTGTCTGTGAGGTCTCTTTTTGATTCATTTTATTTTCCACCACTGTCTGCGTTAGCGTGAAAGTGGACACTTTGAACAATCCCTGTCTAGGTTTAAGTGAAAGGCGCTGCTCTAAAGAATTTAACCAACTGACTGACCATGTACCGATGGGGAGCATCTGACCATACCAAAACCAAAAATTGTTCTAATCGGCACGTCAGGAAGAGTTGTTTACTAAAATGAGTTCTTCAGATTCTCATAATGAAGCATGAAACTGCGAAATATAGACTTTCATTTAACATTATTCTGACATAGCTGGTGCTCTGCAAGTGTATGACTGGTGCTCTGCAAGTGTATGACAGTAGCATTCATCCAGGCAGTCACCGAGTCGACAAGGGTCTACAGAGTAAATGCGATTACAGCTATGTTGAAAGAGGGCTTGCAAAATTGATTGTTTCCTGATCATTGCTTGAAAAACATGTGTTCGTCCATACCAGCTCAACTAACCCATCCGTTCATTCAGATGGAAAAGATAAAGAGAGAGCCATTGATAAGAAACAAGTGCCCATAATTTTTGACTGCACAACACATGTTGTGAAGCTATTATTATCACATATGATTGCCTAATAGAGCAAAGAATTTGTCGCACAACGTAGCTGCGACTGTGAGGGTAATCTACAATGAACGGTTGCTTCTCAACCACGAGTGAGAATATATGCAGACATCCATCGTTTAAAACTCTTATTGTCATGCAGTCCAAAATAGGGGTACGCACATTATGCGGGAATTTCTTCAGGAATTTTAGGCATTCGAAAAGCAGAAGAATTATGCAAGAATATTACTGCAGAAGGGGGCGGAGCCATGTACACGCATGGGGCAAGAGCCGCGCGAGCGATGACTAAGCAGTTTAGCACGCACGGGAAGCAATGGCGAGCGGAACAGAGAGTTCCGTTGGCACTGTTGCATCTACTTCCACGACTTGTAGTGACTCCGAGCGTTCATCGTGTAGTCTCTCTTGGCCCGACTTCGATCCCCCACGGTTTCAGACCTGTGCAGAAAACGCAAAATTGATGCCAACCCTCCTCCCTCCGGCAAGAAGCGGTCTTCCGGCCAGCCACTCACAGCCAGGTATGTACCGAAGTCTATTTCCCCCACCCAGCGTGCTCGGGAGTTTCCAGAAGAACAGCTAGTCGAGTCTGGGGGGGGAACTGTTCTGCCATGCTTGCCGGGAAACATTGTGCGTTAAAAGGAGTGTTGTTTTAAACCACGTGAAATCAAGCAAGCACGAAGAAGGGAAAAAGAAACTGAAAGCTAAGCAAGCGAGGGAAGCAGATCTGGCAGTAGCCTTAGAAAAGCATGATGATAATACTCATAGAAAGGGAGAGACATTACCTGAGGCTCAAAAAGTCTATAGAGCCAGGGTAGTGATAGCACTGATGGAGGCAGGGATCCCACTGTCAAAACTTGATTGCCCTGGACCAAGAGACCTGTTGGAAGAGAATAGCTTTCGTCTAACAGATTCCCGGCACATGATGGACATGATGCCATTTATACTTCAGGAGCAGCATGCACAAGTAAAGGATGAAATTCAGGGGAGGGATATATCCATCATTTTTGATGGCACTACAAGGCTCGGGGAGGTGTTGGTGGTGGTTGTTCGGTTTCTCGAGGAGTGGACTATCAAGCAACACCTTGTAAGTGTACAATTCCCGCGAGAAGAGTGTGAATGGGGATGAGCTAGCCAGGTTGATTATCAGTATACTGTCAGTTTCCCTAGGGGTGGAGTCAGGGAGACTTCTCGCTCTAATACGAGATGGTGCCAGTGTAAATGCGGCTGCCTTGCGCACAGTTGCTATTGTGTACCCTTCCCTCTTGGATGTGTGTTGTATCTCCCACACACTTGATCTGGTCGGAGATAAGTTTAGGGTACGTATTGTGAGCCTATTCTTCACCTTGTGAGTTTCACTGTTTGCGCACAGTGCTAAAGTGAGAGCCAAGTGGAAGGAAAGAACTGGTCGATCAATGGCTCCATTTTCGCAGACAAGGTGGTGGAGTAGGTGGGAAATAATGCAGCAGGTGCTAGAGCAGTTTGGGGACGTGGAACCCTTTTTGTAGGAGAATGCCGATTTAAGCGCTGCTACTCGAGCCAAGTTACTTGAAATCCTGCACGATCCCTAGCAACTACCTTCCGTCAAGGTAGAGCTTGCCACCATAGTTGACATGGGAATACATTTTGTGAGGGCAACCTACTCCTTGGAAGGGGATGGGCTTCTTGTACTCAAGTGCTATGAGGAGATAAGCAAAATCAGGGCAGTTATCACATCCGAATGTTACCCTAAGCTGCAAGCTATAGTCTCCATGATGCATTCCCTACTCCCAACACCATTGGACTGTTTATGCGAAAACTTGTATCCAACCAGGAATAGACTATTTCCACAAAAGACTGGGAGATGATGAACTAAATCCTATGAAGGCATTCAAGGCCGCAAGGTTATTTTCGCCTTCAAAGACCAATGAAATGCAACCTACAACAAATGATATTGACAAACTTCAAGCATTTCCATTCCTACTAAATGAAATCGATGGATTGAGGCTGAATTTCCCTCTTACCTTGCTCATGCTGCTGATGTCAGCTCTACTGTAGACACACTCAGATAGTGGGAAGATCACAAGAATGACCTCCCAGCTTGGCCCTCTGCTGTAAGAAAAACTTTACTACTGCAACCTTCTTCGGCTGCCGCAGAAAGGGTCTTTTCACTTTTGAAGAACACATTTGGTGACCAACAACAAACCTCTCTTAGTGACTATATTGAGGCCTCTCTTATGGTACAATATAATAGTATGTATTGTTTGTGTAAGTCACAGATTTTTTTGAGAATTGATTAAGAATAATAGGGATAAAAAAACAGAATTCAGGAATAGAATAATTGGGAAGAAAAAAGAATAATGTGCTGACCCCTAGTCCAAAATGCCTCATCTCTGGAAGGAGCGGTCTTGTCCATCCTACTCTAGGACAAGACGGTGTTGTTTTAACCGTTTGTTTCAGGGTTTCTAGCACCTTTTCTTGACAATGAAGAGTTATCAGGGGCTAATACTAAAAAGCCCCGTGAGATCATGGATGATGAGGCTACTAATAGGAAGCTGAAAATAGAGATCACAGTAACCTTTGATCCATTAGAACCCTGCACAAAGGCTCAACATATTAGGCTGGGATAGACCCCTTACTAAGTTGGTACAGTGCTCGCCTAGATATATAGCAGAGTGTTGTGGGTTCGAATCCCACGAAGGGCAGCTCTTCCTTTATCCTTGAAAAAAGACTTTTCCTGGGTGTAGTTCATTTGTTTGCGTTGCCTTTGCTTTTCTACCTTGTTGCACAATTGGAAATCTCTTACATGACCAGCAAGTGCCAGCTTATGGTGATTCTTGTGGTTTAACAGCCTATTCCTATCGAGAAAATTGAAGTTCAAGCAAGATTTGAGGAGCTACTTGGTGTTTATTTTCATTAATTCAATGCGATCAAGCCCGTGGTAAGAGACCTTTAATCACTAAAAGTTATATGCAAATCAAAGGACTCAAATCTGAACTATATACCAAACTATACTTCCCTGGCAGAGAACGTGTCATCTGCCAGAGATCCACTGACTTGGTGGAAAGATCATTAGTCCAAAGTGGGCGAGTGCATGTAAACAAGTGCTAATGTTGCAACCATCATCTGCGGCAGTTGAATATGTCACGTAGTAATGCTGGACACGATGTTAGTCCTCTAAGTAACTTTGTGCCTTGTAGGGCGCCATGGAACAGGCATAGCACTCGTCGGGTAACTCCTTGCTGAATAGCACATTGCTTTTTCCCTGGTTCTTACACCATATTTCTTGAACGCAACCAAAATCGGCTTATATTTTCGTCATTGGCATCATTCATAGGCCGCATAATAAAGTGTACGGATAAAGTGTAAGAATACACGAGACCCAGTGCTGTAATCCTGGCAGAACATGTAGGGTTAAAAAGTGCAACGTAGCACATTGTTGCCAGGTTGCGACATGTGGTGGCGAAAGAGACGCACACATGGACGGACAGAAATACCAACCATTAATAAATTCTTCGCCCAAAAATATAGTAGGCATTGGTTGCCATAACCACCTCGGTACTTTTGAGGAAGAACCTGTCATTAGCATTGTACACTCGCAAACAACCTCTCTATCCCAGATGCTACCAGTGTTACAGTATAGAAGACACTTGTGACGTCGCCTAGCAGGTTCTCGCTAGCACACTTTGATAGCCACTTGCTCACACACATGCGGTCTCAATTTCAACAACATCATCACACGTGACGTCTCGTGATCATACACGGACAGCACAGTGAAAGATGATTTATACACAACCTTACACACTATCCAGGTTACGGATAGATTACTATACTTCAACGACCTCCGGGAAGCTGATAAAATCCGTTCTTCCACCAGCACTTGCAGGCAAGTGCAGCACTGTGTTGTGACAGTGTGCGTGTGTGTAAACACTACAGTCTGCTAAATCAGTATCTCGCTTAGCACAAGGTGGACAGCGACAAATTTGAGTGAATTTTATGTTATTCTGGGTGGATCAGCCACACCCCTTATTTGTATAAAGTGTCTACTAAGACGAACCGTTTTACATAAGCGTGCTACTATTTATTCAAAAGCAATGAGGCGTACACAAAGAGTTTGAGTTCAAAGGAGCTTGTGTCCAGTTGAGTGTAGTCCTGATCGTTGTGGTCTGTTTCCACTACTTCCAACGCATGTCCAAAAGGCAAGAACACCATCCCACTTATCACACCTACCTGGAGAGTTTGATGGAGAGGTACATAGAGCTCCAGTATGCCATACACAAGCACGCACGCAGGCAAACCTACTCATCTTGGCTAAAGCGTCCTTCCCTCTATTTTCTTCACGGCACATGGTATTGACAGTCAAAGTAACATAAAGCGCGGTGAAACAACAGCAGGAGAGAGAAAAGGTTCCAGATTGCAGCACTGATTGTAGCTGCCGAAAATGGATTTGTGAACGGGTGTGGGCGGGTTCTGGCACGATAAAATGACTGCACACCGGGCAGGGAGGCATGGTTGCATTCTTTCGGTGACACAAACTACGTAAACCATGCTCAAACATTGTACTTATACTATACTTCGATAAAGCACTTGCCCTCGGCCACCACATGCCCTCTTCACATTCGTGCCAAGTGGACATATAATATACACATACAACTGAAACACTCATGATTTACACCTTCACATGAGCGTTTCATCGACTTTCCTATTGAAAATATTGTATCTTTAATAAGGTGTGGTCTTATGCTTGCATAAAACTAGTGGTTTCTGGAGAAACTGTTGAATGGTCAGCTAACTTCGTGTAATAGTTGGCCGGACTGCTTACAACCACGTATAAACCCTAATATTCTACACAGTGCAAACCTCTATCAGGGAGGTTGACTCTGCGTTCTGTAGTGCCTCTCTCAAGTGGTCAATAGAGGAGTAAGGGAGCCACACACTCGGAGATGATGAATGGAGTGTAGCCTGCAGTGACAAAGACAGAGATCAAAAGTGTGCAATATGTGAGGATACAATGATTACAGACCTGCATTGAAAACTCTTCTCGTCGAGGTCCAAGTACAGCATCTATGTATTGCAGTGCAAAGACTGCAGCTTCCTCCAGTAGATTAAACGACAAATACAGATGCAGAAGCTCAGCTGGATTTGTCTCCTGTGAAGACAGGTATGTAGGATATCAGGTACTGGGTGTTCAGTGCATAGCTCGTACGAGGTTTTTGTGGCTTTATTAACATGGGAATTCATGCAAAAATGCTCCTACAAATAAATAGACAGTTTCCTGCCTGCTTTGAGTGTTGAATCTCTCTTCACGTGATCAAACTAGGTATATAGCCATTTTTCTAAAGCCTACACTCCTTGGTTGCACAGAACAAACTCATAAAAAGGGGGCGATACTGTGTATCCTCGGGGCATACAAGATATCAACAAATAGGCCATCCATGTACTGCTATCTTGGGAAACAACCAAAGAAGGGGTTGTTCATTGAAATCCTATACACCCCCTACACATAGTATTATAACTTTACCTTGAAAGACTGGATAAGCCACTGGGGCAGATGAGAGCCGAGGGACAGTAGCTTCCTAGCAACGCACTTCTGTAGCCTGTGGCCATGGACATGGTCATATGTCCTCAGATACGACTTGAGCATAAGCCAGGCTTTATCCACAACACTAAAGGAAGGCAATAATAAAACTTTATGCCATATCGGTCTTTTTAAACCTCCTCAGATCCAGTGTACCTCCTACATTCCATGTGCCTCTTTTGTCTAGCACTAGTGAACTAGGCAGATACGTATGTGTAAACTGTTTCTATTTCTATGTGTTTAGGTACATTGGATGTATTGATGGTGGTGGTTCTTTCTTTCTCATATCTTTATGCTAAGTATGCTATACACATGTGATAAACGAGGTAGAAAGGCAAAGGCACAACAAACAAATCAACTACACCCTGTATATACATGCTTATGACTATACATATACACTCATTTGCCTATATAGCCAGCAAGAAACTTTCAGTACTCACGATCTCTCGATTGGTGTTGGAATGTCTATGGATTCATTTGCATCCAGCCAATTCCAATTGCTGGCATCGTCTGTTTCATCCCTGTGCGAAACAACACAATAGCCTGGACATAATCAGCAATTCTTATGTGTACCTGAAGCCCACCAAGCTGTTGGTCAAGTGAACACATCTGAAGTAAGAGAAACATTGAGAATTATAGCTCATGTTGTCTACAAAAACACTAAGTCCATTTGATTTGCATACACACCTAACTTAAAATACATAAAATTGTACATTTTGACAATACCGATGAGCTGTAATGATAGAATAAGATATTCAGAAGGCATCCCAAAGTCCACGTCTTCTCGAATGAACAAGCAAGCAAAAAAGTCACAGAGGTTTCCAAGAGCATACTCACCTCGAGGCAAGTGCATCAAAAATTGAGTCCAAAGGTAGTCCAAAGCAGCGGGCTGTTTCAATAGCCTTGTCAAACAGCCCAACCTGGATCAGTCGAGCTACCACCTCTTCGGGACTTACAAAAGGACCTACACATAAAGATAATAGAGTGAATATATACAACTTAGGTAGTCAAAAAAATAGGAACATTGGCATGTTGATAAAAGTTCACTATTGAAACATACGCTATGTAGGTTTTACTGCACAAACATCTTCATTGGAATGTTAATGCAGTCCCTGTCAGAAGGACAATGAGCAACCGAACAGTTGAGTGCCGGATAAATCACTTGCTTCACTGAAGCAAACGAGTTAAAATATGAAGGTAAACTACAGTCCCTGTGAATAAAACTGGGCAAACAGTACGTTCACAAAGGTGTTCTGTGTCGGAACATACAGAGAAAATGACAGGGTTCAGCCGCGCACGCATCCACGCTGTTTATGTAAACAAATTGGCAGGACAAACAGCTCACAACTGCAAGAACTGCAAACTATGGGCTATACTCACAGACTGAAGTAAGGCAAAAGTGGACGTGACACTGCTGTATCCTTAATAAAACTTTGAGAAGGCTAGTGCCACAACAGCCGTACACTGCAGTACGCTGTGTGCACCATATTGCGGTTTGTAATTGACTGTATGCGAATTATATTACGCAACGGGGAGCCAAATGTATAGCTATGCCTTAACCTTTGAGTCCACAATTGATTTGGCATAGAACTATGCAATGAGAAAGTGGGGAAGCAAGTAAGATCATGGCTCTCCCCCATGCCTGTACAAGAATTTGTCCTGAGAGTGATTACCCTCAGCGTGCATGTGCAGCGAGGGTACGGTAGTTGGGCCTGTCTGTCTGTCTGTCTGTCTGTGTGTCTGTTACTCTATATCTCACTTCTCCAATGCTTGTTAGTCTCACAAACTATTCGACCTACTTAATGGGCGATGAAGGTCAGAAATTTTGAGCGGTTTTCTCTGGAAATGCTCCGTTGCAGAGCTAGAGCGCTTTCACCATTGTATGGCTAATGACGGCTGCAGTAGGCCATTTTACTCTGCGGAAACGCGAATGCGCATTATTTGTCCACGTGGTGGAAAGCGGCCATTTTGCTTCGTGTTCGGTGAAAGGAATGTGTCCAGTTGCGTGAGTTGCCGATTTCTCTATCATGCCTCCAAGTAAAGTATGCCCACAGTGTGAAACTATTGTACCACTAAGGGTAACATGTCTTTCGAGCCAAGAGAAAAGCAGAGCATAGTTTGCCAGACAAAGCCATGAAACGCATGTGAGTCTTACAGTGAGATAGTGTCAAATCAGATATGAAGGCTAAAGCTAAGTTGCAGAAGGCCAGTAAAAGAGCATCAGAAACTAGCGAGCAAACTGTGCATAGACAACAGCAGAACAGAAAGCACATGAGAGCAAGTTAAACTAGCGAGTAAACTGTGCATAGATGAGAAAAAGACAGAAGCAACAACGCACTGGCAATAAGTGGGTGTGTAAGACATGCGACAGAGCATTAAAGCGAGGAGTAATGCCATTGCAAGCTGAAGCTAATGGGTTACAGTCGACTCAAATACCACCTGAGCTATCTGATCTAAATGCATTGGATTGGAACTAAGGCTTATTTGTCTACATGTGCCTTTCATGAAAATGGCAGCATTGCCGT